ATGACCTCTCATTCTGTAGTCTGGCTTGTATTTCTAAAGCTTCCTTTAAATTTTCTTGAGGAAACTGTGATGATCACCTCGTTGTTGAATTCATTATTTCTAAAGGGTAAATTTAATCTATTCATGCTTTTACTTAAAACACTTCAATGTCATCCTGAAGTAGAGATAAGTCCAAACACCGTATGACTTGAAGACACTTAAATATGTGGCTCTTTTTATTCTCTTGTTTCTTATTTTGTAGCTTCCTTCCAAGTACTGGTGACCAAATCTTAGTGAACAATTTAAAGTTCATTATGTTTAAACCTTTATAATTTTTTCTGAGATGTTTCCTCTTCTGGGAGGTATGTCCTCAATCAACCATTTATTTAAATAATTTCTTACACTTCAAGATCCAACTCCAGTATTTCTTCCTCTTAAAGCCTTTCCTGTTGCATTAAAACTTTTCTGCCATCCACTGCAGAGTGTTTATTCTACTTTAGAACTTACCGTATTTCCATTTTAATGTTTGGTATATTTCTATCACTCTTGTACTGGACTGAGAGCTATTTGAAGGCAAAATCCTTGTTTTACTCATCTTAATATTCTTAGAACCTAGCTTATTGCTGAGGGTGCAGCAAGGATATAATATATATATATATATATTTATTTATTTATTTAGCAGTGGAAATAATGACTGTAAGTTATTTCCTTATTTATAAATAAGCCCAGAAACGTTGTTATCCAGTAATGATAAACCAGATATAACAGATTGCACTGTAGATAATGCTGAACATGTAAGAATGTAAACAAGATTTGATGAATTTTATCAAAATTAACAAATAGAAATACCCATTTAAATTATTTTTAGAGTAAAAAATTCTAAGAACTGGTCAGCAGATATTCTTTTGTAAGAAAGATATTTATGCTTTTATAAGAAAATTAAAAAGCATAAATCATAAATTGTTTTTGAATAGCAAACAGTACTACAGACTGAAGGTCATATGTCATAGAATGCCGAGAAGAAAGCAGTAATCTGAACTATGCATTCCACAGGGGCCATCCCCTGCAGGATACTGCAGATCCTAATAAAAAGGGCAGTGGTAGGGCAGAAGACACTTATTCAGAAAAAGGAATCTCTAAGAAGGAAGGTGTATCCATTGCCTTTGTTAATTGAAGACTAGATTGATGTAGGCAAATTTCTGAGAGAACGTTTGACAATGTCAAATGTTTGTGAGGAAAGAAACCTGATACTGGAGACTCAGCTATTCATGAGTCAGAGTTAAAGAGAGCAAAGTTTTTAATTGCACTGGAATGCCTTCTGTCATTTGAAACGAGCTGGATTACACAGTTTCTAAATAATCAGATGGCAAGCCAAACCTATGGAATGACTTTCAACCTTTGGTTAAAGAAATGAGCACAGGCCATTTAGGGAAAAGCAATGAAGAAGGGAAAAGATTTTCCATGACACAAATAGAACACAAAACAATTTAAAATGAAGTGAACAGTAGCCTTGAGATGAAGTAAGATTAATGAACTAATAGTTCAATAGGCTTTTTTTGTGATTCCAAAGATTATCGAGTGAGAGCTTCAGAGGAACGTCCAGGTCATGTGATGGGATTTTAAAATTTGCTAGATGAAAGCAAATACAATCAAATGGTCTGTAAATTCACTTTCAGTGTTCTTAGTTTCTTCTATATTTCTTCATTTTAAAGTTTAAAAGTATAATATTTATTCTCTCTTTGTCTAGTTTGTTTTCTCCAAGTATTTTTTCACCTACAAAACTAAAAGTAAAGCATTTCTCTTTTGAATGTTTCCCCTGGTAAGCTACTTTAACCAAGGCAGTGAAATAGTAGGTTACATTTTGTTGATTCTAATATAAAATTTCTAATGTTATGACACTCTATCCCCTTCCTCCCACTGTTTTTCCAAAATTATTCAGATTGGTTATTTATCTTTGTCTTCTTTTAAAATAAATGTGAAGTCTTAAGCAGACATAAAAGTTATGCCTATTATTATTTTAAGATCTAAAAACAGAGCACTTTCTAACCCAATTATATATCCCACAAATTTAATTGCACTCTGTTTAACTATAAAACATTCTATGATTATTTTTCTATTGCTGTATTTCTATTTACCACCAATTCATGTACAGGTTATTCAAGCATAAGCTGTTTGGGTCTGTATATTAAGAAGCTGAAGCTCTTGAGAAGTACCCCCAGTCCTTGAGAAATTGGTGACTGGTAGTTTATTCCCAATTATATCTCTTCTCACTACTCTATTAATAAAGCAACCAAACAAAAAATAATTGAACTGTATAGGATAGTATAGTATGGTCTTAAAATGATTTAAAGTTTTTAAGTTTAAAAAATTTTTATTTTGTGATATTAGGATGGAAACCAGAAATCAGCAAAACTTCTCTGGTTGCCTCCTGAATCATTTTACATTCTGAAATTGAATGCAGAGGAAACTATCTTGTTCATAGCTAAGTGCAATATGCATCTTACTAATTGTTAGCTTATGGTAATAGCTGACAGAGCAACCAGAGTTTTAAAACTTGCTCTAATTTTTGTCTACGACCTTGAATATATAAAATACCTAGTGAAAATCACAAGGGGATAATGATCAGTATAATCAATTTGCAGAGGCAGGTTGGACTGCGTGAAACATTTAACAGGAGAATTTACCATTGACTTATACAGACCAGATCAGTTAATAATGCAGCCAGGAACAGTTGTTAAAGCAAGGATAAGTCTACCTGTAGTGATCTTACAGAAAGGGAAAATATGAGAGTATACCAGAAGTTACTACCAAGAAGAGAAAACTCCCCACCACTTTGGGGTCATGGTGAAACAATCCAATGAACTGGTAAGTTCTCTTTAAAATGAATACCTGTTAAGAAATGTAAAAAGACCAAAAATTTAGGGAAGGCAAACATACTGCTCATAAGAGTTATTCATTGAGTGTCCTGAAGAACCCTTCGAATATCAGTTACTTGGTTTTAGAAAGTTTCACAGAGTTCTATTTGAAATTCAAAGACATATCTAATGGAAGAAAAAGTTCTTATAGCTCCAAAATGAGAAATATACTGGTTTCTTAATGTCCAATAAGATTCTTCAACTCATCTGGTAGATGAGTTTTAAAAACTTATTATCTTACAAACATGTTTACTCACTAGTATATTTTTACTCTTCTTTTTCCATGTAATATGTATACCATGATATTACTGATTGGGAATTTAAGAGTGTCAATCACTGGGAATTTAGTATTCTTGCCTTATAGTTTTATTTCAACTTTTTATTGAATAAGAGTCTGAAATTGTGTCCCTGCCCCAATTTAGCTAATCTTATTTAGTCTCTGATCCATCTACATTCTTAATGAGTTACAAAAGGAATTATTGTTTCTTTAGTTAACTATAGTGGAAGACTATGGAAGTGAATGACAAATGGAGATACAAAACACTATGTGATAGTGTATGGTGATGCCTTTGGGGGCAAACTGAGGAGAACTCTGCTTTTAGGGTTCTTCCTCCCTGCCTTAGAAAGTAGACACTACCCCAGTGAGCCAGGAGGGTGTTCTGAGGAGTTTGCCATCTGCTGGTGGATCTAGTATGACATGATCCATTTTCCCTGCAAACGGCAGTGCCTGTAATAAAGTCTCACACTTTGGGAAAGATGTCAGACTTGTATTCAAAAATCTCTAAGCCCATACAAGGTATAGGATCTTATACAAAACCTAGAATTATTTCCTTTTTTGAGCATTAAGATTGCTTGTTTACTAATCTATTTTCTGAAGTGAACACTTCCTATTGTGCAAGGAATTGGAGCAAGAAATACAGAACTGCTGACATGGAGGAGGTTTTTGTCTATGGAAATAGCTGTTACAGCATCTTCTGGGTCTCAGATATTAATACAAGATGCATGAGTCTGCTTTATGATCTCTGAAGTACCATAAATTACAAGAGGTTCTGACTTAAGGGCAGCAAGTTAAGGCTAAAAGTTCAAACTACAAATATTTATTAGGTTGAGTGTGAGAATAAAATGAAAGACAAGTGTAGTCAACCCTTGATTATTCAGATTGGCTAGAGTTTGTGATTTTCAGTGCCCTTTGATTCTCCTTCTCCTTCCAACCACCAACTATTGCATCTTACTCTGCTCATTAACACCTGTCTAGGAGTGGGAAGGTGAAATGCTAATCAGCCAATTTGTCTAATTGTTAGCTGCTAAGATCCTTATCATTTTATTTTCTTGAAGTTGAGGTAGGGAACAGTTTTACTAAAATGTGGGCTGTGAGTTTCTAAATTTTATGCCACCTTCCCTTTCCTTCACTGCATAGATACATTTAGAAATTTTGTTTCCAGTTAATTATTAAAAGAAATAAAGGAATCTAGTAATTCATCTGTTCTCAAGTGCCAGTAGAACTTCACATACGAATTTCTTACTGGCCAGTATTTGGAAAAATCTTAATACTCTACAAGGAAGCTTCAGGATTTAATAGCTGCAACTTTAAGTGTAGCTCTTTATATAAATAACTGCACTTGCTAAGTGAATTTAGACGAGTAGGGATTCAATTTGGAGAAAATGACTTAAGAGTACCTTCCCCTTTGCCTCTGGTAGACAGTACAAGACCCTCCCCACACCAAATAAGGGGAAGAGGAATGTTTTGAGCTTTAAGGGCACTAAGAATACATCTGAGCTATCACAGATAAGATTACTTTCAACTCTTTATTTCATGTTTTCTGACGTAGACCCCAGGATCTGTAATTATCTTAAGGAAACTGCGGGGGCTTAGACAGTACTTTTTAGTTCTTTTGCCTTTCCCCCCACCCCTTCTTTCTTTGGGGCTGGAGAAGTGTGTGTGTGTGTGTGTGTGTGTGTGTGTGTGTGTGTGTGGAGAAGTGTGTGTGTGTGTGTGTGTGTGTGTGTGTGTGGTGTGTGTGTCTGGAGAAGTGTGTGTGTGTGTGTGTGTGCCAAAAAAAAAAACGTGCTGAAGAGTCCTATGGTGATGAGGCTATTTTTGTTCGAAGCTGATACTTCTGCCTGAGCCACAAGTGCTGCTTGGAAAGGGCTCAGGTTGTTTTCACGGGGAGAACTCTGCAGAGAAGAGAAAAAGTTCAGCAGGACAACCAAGGAGCAGTAGAAACAGCCAGGAAAACGAACAGCCCTCACGTTTCCACACAGAACCCTCATCAGAGTTCTCGCATCCTAAAGTATTCTGTGAGGTGCCACTTGACCGGAACTTTTCTCCTGCCTTTTCCTGTCTCCAACCATCATGACTGAGATCACTGCTGAAGGTATTGCTACCATTCCTTTGTTCAAAATCATTTTTTTCTAAGTTTAAACATTAAATGCAGCTAGGGGAAAAAAAAGGTGCAAATTGACAGCAACATTTGACCCTAAATATGCCGACTTAAGATGTTGCTTTTAGAGAATTGTCTTGATCAAAGATTCCATAAGGAATTGGAGAAGTGGATTTGGGAGCTGAAAGGCTGACAGATCTGTGTAATGGGGGGGAAGGGGAAAGGTTTCTCTGAAATTTTGCATGAGGAAACTGTTCTTTGCTATGCCAAAGGCTCCAGTAGTTAACAGTTGTCACCCACACCTCTATAAATAGCTGTGGTCAAAGAACATTATGGCTGATATCTTTCTTACCTTGCAAAACTTACAGGCTTGCAAGGATGGAGACTATAATGAATTTAAAATGTTGCATTTAATGTTTAAACTTAGAAAAAATGATTTTGAGCATTTTTGCCTTATTTTATTTAAATGTGGAGGTCTTAAATTTGTCCTCCCTTCCCAACTCAAGTATATAAATATGCTCACACACATACATAAGATGTATATACAATTTAAGATACAAGTGCCCCCACCAATTTTATTATTGGTGGATATTCAGAAACAAGGTTTGGAATTGCACAAAATCATTATAGATCAATATGATTTAAAAAATAGAGCAATTTGAGTTCTGATCATTGTCACTCATGTTTTCTGTATTTTTTTACCTCTACATGATGAAGTCTATATTGCAGTAAATATTTGCTGTTTAAATGTTTATTCTGAAAAGATATGTGCCATAACTAATTTTTATTTGACCAAGGTACCAATAGTTTCACTAATATATAATGTATGTAAAATAGATTTAAATATGTAAATGAAAAAATGAATAAATATATTACACACACACACACACACACACACATATATATATAGATACATATTTTATAATAAAAGGACCCTTCAACAAGCAACACAATCCGGTTCTAGCTGGGGTAAAAAATTGGGAGGTGGATCTAAAATTTGCTTCTGACAGCTGTAAGCAAATCAGACAGGTGGTGCTCTCGACAGCTTCCAAGTTGAATGCTGTGCTCGTTTGTTTTTAATCAGACAACTGAAAAATAGAATGTGTGTTTTTGGCTCTTTGAGCAGACATTAATAGGGATATGCAGTAATTTCAAAGTCAGAGATTTTCCAGCAGTGTTTATGAGGAGAAACAACTTACTTGTACTTTCCACTGAAAAATTTAGTCTGGCACTCCAAATTAATAAAAACAATTACTGAGTGATTTCTGTGTATTAGGTATTTTGCTCAAGACTTCATGTGCATTGTTTGTTTAAACCTCACACAATTCAGTTCGGTAGGTGTTATTATCTCCATTTTGCAGAAATAGAAACTGTAACTCAGATGCTTGGTGACTTGCTCAAGACTATGGCTCAAGACCAACTCTCTTAAATCTAGTTTGTGTCTTTTCTGTTTTGTAAGAAGGTGTCAGGTTTACTCTACCAATTTTAGTTGAGAATTCACTAACTAAAAATAAATAGCATTTTTTCCTATTCCTTAGATATTCTGTGCCATGTGGTTTTTAGTTTGCCCTAAAGAGAGCTATCTATAAACAATTCTTGCTTAGCCCTGCACAATTACTAAGATACCTATGAATATGTTTCCCTTCTTCTGCACAGGGTGTGGCTGCTGATGCAGGAGATCACTTGGCCAAAACATTTTGCCTCGGTTATGGATTATACTCTGTAGACCTTTGTACTTGATTCATAAAACTTTTTATAGAAAAATTACTGATTATGAACTAGAACTTTTGTTTCTGTCTTGTCCCTGTGGAGAGCTTAAAGGTTTTTGAAAGACCTCCTAGTATCACTATAAAATATCACTGAATTAGTAACAAATTAAAAATGTAAAGCCACCATCTGTTTCCTGGGTGATGGTCATTTCCTACTCCAAGACCTTAACAGTTCATAGAACCTATTTCATCTGAACATCAATTATGTACATTTTCTCTTTTCTGGAATGATATATTAATTGTATTTCTAAAATAACAGTTGGACTGCCAACTCAAATGAGCTTGACTCTTCAGGTCAGTACCAGTCAAAGTGACTGCCCTAAGTTTCTTGTACTTTGCTTTACTGTACTCTTTTATTTTGTCTTTTATGACCCTCACCTTTTGTGCCCCAGTTACAATAGTGTTCCAGTCTTTTGTTAGAGGTTTGCATTTGTACAGGGCCTTGGTATAAGTTATTTCTTCATCCTGGAATATTCTTTCATCTCATCTGCTCTATTTCTTGTGCTACCACATTTGGGTACACTACTAAAATGTAAGTACTACATCAGTAACCTTCTAACATCTACTGGTGACTCTTCCCATCCATTTAACACAAAGCAAGCAAGCACCCTGTAGCATTTAAGAAAGGTAGAGCTAAGAGTAGCCCCTTAGGTCAGTTTTTGGAAAACTGAGGCTCAGATTACATGACTCTCCCATGGTCACTGATAATTAGGAGTGGTCTGAGGATACATTTCATGTCTCCTATGGCTTTTCTCAGTGCTTAGCTTATCCAACTATAATGCAGGGCATGTCAACTAATCATGCCAAGTTTCACATGGATTTCCACCACATGTTCCAAACTGGATTTCATCTGACAGAAGAAAGGAAATAATGCTAGATATGGAATTGTTTTTCAGGTACAGAGCAATAGATGAAGTGGAACCAGGACAAAGTTGAACCCCAAAGAATATAAATACAGCAAAACAGAATGAACAAAACAGCAGTAGACTCATAGACACTGAGAAGGGACTGAGTGGGGATGGGGTGGGGAAGGAGCAGGGGGAAGGGGACAAAAATTCTCAATCATAATGTAGGTTGGTCACAGGGATAGTAGTACAGCATGGAGAATATAGCCAATGATTCTGTAACATCTTCCTATGTTGACAAATAGTAACTACACTAGTTGGGGTGAGATTTAATAATATGGTAACTGTTGAACCGCTGTGTTGTATACTTTAAGACTGTATATTAATAAAATAAAGAAATATTTTAAAAAATGTTGAACCCCAAAGGATCTTGAGGAAACAATGCCTTTGATTCTGGTTATGATAAATTAATAAAGATAATGGTAATGATAATAAAAAATTACATTTACATAGAAGATACTAAGAATTTGAGATGTGAGGATCATTTAATCTATGAATGAATAGATACTTCTATTATTGTTGCTATTTATAGAATAGGAACCTGAAGCTTAGGGAGGTTAGGAATTTGCCTGAATTCACATAACAGGGATTTATATGCAGATCTCTTACCCCAGAGTCATGCTGAATACTTTCTCATGCTATGTGATATTAATACTTAGCCTGGTACTAATTCACAGGTTCTGGTTTGGGTAGGCTCAGGCTGCGTTGGGTAGGTTAGATCAGGCCCCAGGCTGGAGCAGGTTCAAAGAGTATTAAGGTTTAGGACTATAAATACGCTTTACTTCTTCTCACAGGCCATTATTCCTAGACAAATGCCAAAGTTAGCTCCACCTTCTGAGTTTAATACTAACTTTCAATCATCAATTCGAGCATCTATTTGATAATAGGTATCACTTTGCCAAATTAAAGTTTGGGTAATTTTGATTATGAAGTGAGGTTAAGTTAGTTCTTAATAGCTATGTGGAAAAGACAGAGGCTTTTAAAAGTTGATAAAATAATAATGTTTTCAAATTGCCAGTTAACTAATATATAATCAAATTGTGCCTTATAATAACCATTTAGGTAATTGTGCTCTTTGGATCCAAGGACCTTCAAAATGTAGAAAAATACAAATTTTTAATAATGGATTCAACTAGGTAGAGATCCTGTATTTAATTACTGCACTTGCTAAAATACTTTGTTAAGGGAAATTCTTATTTTTAAAAAAAGAGGTAGAAGCTCTGTGAAACTCTCAAATTTTAATTTATTATGACCTCAGGATTCAGGAGAAGAGTTATTGTACTATGTATGGAATTCTTTCCTTCCTCTTAGTTCAAACAGATTTAACTGCTTCTCTAACAAACCTCTATAAAAATTTGATATTCAAAATTTGGAGCAAAAATTCTCATTTATTTAACACAATTCACTGCTCTGACAGACTGCATAGCGCAAGAGCACCCATTTTTGCTCTGAAGAAAAAAAGATCAAGAATTCAGAGCCACACTACTTAACAACTATGCACACAGTTACATCGCCTAGAGCAGCCAATGGCAAAATTAAGAGAAGGAGGTGATGTAGCCTACTGTGTTTATCTTGTCAAAACCAAAAGTGGCTATTCTGGCCTAAGTGGAGACTTGCGTGTGGGGAGAGGAGGAAGTGGGTGAAGTCCTAGGTTCAGGCCCTAATCATGTCTGAGTTATGCTCTCCTGTTCAAGAAAAGCAATCACCCAGAGATTGCTGTAGATATATAGAATATCATTTTTAGTTCCAGGAACATATTTTAAAGTTGACACTGACAAGCCAGTGTACCTGGAGGTGTTCCATGATGGTGAGGCACAGTTAAATGAAGACTTGTGCCCAGGTCATTAAAGTAGAAGATTGGATTTTTTCATTGTGCAGCACTAGTGGACAATACAAAGAGCCATGGAGCAAAGCCTGGAAGCCACAGAAAAGGCAAGCTGTAGACAAAATATAAGGCAAAATCTCACCAACCATTAAAATGATAGCTAGAACCAACTCTATGACTCAAAAACAAAAAAAGGAGATAAAAAGAAAAATAGAAAAGCAACAAAGGGACACAGCCTCCAATTTTCAATAAATAGATGCATGATTAGCATGCTAAAAACTACACCACAGCCTCAGTCAGCATGATCCAGGCTATGAGGACCTCTACATAAAAAACAACCCAGCTCCTTCAAATAAGTTACTAGGAACAAAAACAGATGCCAAGAAAGCCTATACATTAAAAGAAATATAAAAATAGAGCAATCACCACAATATGTATAATTATTGGATCATGATTCAAACCCTTAAAAAAACTCTGATGAAATAATTGGAAATT